TTGATTCTTCTCTAGACCTAAAAATGTTCAAAAAAGGGCTATTGGGACACCTGGGTGCCTCAGCGGTTGAGGGTCTGTCTTTGGCTCAGGGCGTGATCCTGGGGTCCTCGGATCGAGTCCCACATCGGGATCCCTACAGGGAGCCTGCCTCTCCCTCTGCCTACATCTCTGCCTCTCTCTGTGTCTCTCATGAATAAATAAACAAAAATATTTTTTAAAAAGAGGGCTATTAATTAAATATATATGTATTCAATTTAGATACCTATATCAATCAATTGATCAATAGCTAGATAGGCAGGCAGGAGAGATTAAGTGATCCACCCAAGGCCAAATGGCTAAGTGGGGAGAAGGGAAGACTTGAACCCAGGACTTTCCATGGCACCAGCCCCAGTGTGCCCACATTCCGGCTGCCTTCCATGTCTGTGTCAACCACAACGCCCATATTACTACAAACTGCACATCAAAGAGCCAAGCCCAATATTTTGGTTGGTACCAGGGAAGCAAAGAGGGGAATGGGGCCAAGTACCCAGGGGAAGAAAAGGGAAACCCCTGTCCTCACTGACCTCAACCCCAGCCCAGCCTCGGGAGACCAGCAAGCCGGGTGACCCCACAGGCCACTGGCCTCGGCTTTCCTGTTGTGTTATGGGATACATACCACCAGATGACCTCCCAGGGCCTTTCTGGCATGCACCCTAACCTTCTAACCCCCTGCTCTGTCTTCAACCTCAGGAGAAAAGCAGAGATGGGGCAGCACAGGGAAGGAAGGACAAACCCCACAGTCCTTGCCTGGTCTGGGGGGAATAGCCCTCCTCTTCCCAGGACTAATGCTGGGAACGCTGAGCCTGCCACTGACCAGAAGAGTCCAAATGAGGATGAAAGCTGCAGGAAGGCCTGCAACATGGTTAGAGGCCTAGTTATCCTGAGCCCCAGGCTACCAGGGCTCTGCCCCTGCCTTGGTGCCTCCACTGGCTTTGACTGGGGACCCAGGTATAGGTAATCGCAGGCTGGATAAGTCACAGTGATGACCCCAACATTCCCTTAGAGTAAAACCCAAGACATGAAAGGCACAGGGTTATAAGGATGCCTCCTTAGTGCTCAGGGGACATGGCCTCGGAGGTAGACCAGGGCTGCCCTGCAGCTCTTCCTCACTGCCCTGCCCCTCTCCCGCTCCCAGTGTGGGTGTGCCTGTGAAATGGCCTTAGCTCTGGGCCCCTCTGCCCATCTTCAAGGCCTAGAAACTCCTACTGGGCTCAGTTCAGCAGCCCCTCCTCCAGGAAACCCTCCCTGCCCGGGGCGAGGTCTCTTCTGGGTCTCATAACTCCTTTGCCTCCTTGGCCCCAGCACCGATCATTGCGGGCTGGCTTCTTGGGGAGGGCAGATCTAAGCAGAACTCAGAAGTAAGGAAGGACTTGTGGCAAAGTAGGAGGACACGGGGGCTCTAGGTAGGGGGACAGCACAAGGAGAGCCCGGCGGCAGGGAGGCATGAATGGGGCCTCCTACATAGCTGAGGGCATCCCCAGGCTCCAGCCAGCAAGTTAAGCCCCATGTGGGTTCCATCTGGAGGTGATGGGGGGGCCCTGTTGCCAACAGGAGACTCCTCGCCCTCTGGGAGCCCAGGGGCAGCATGGAACCTCCAGGCAGCTCATCAAGCAACTAAACCCAAGCCCAGGAGACAAATCCTTGGCTCCATGCTGGGGCCGGCAGGGGGCAGGGGCCAACAGGGTCAGCAGCCCTAGGCCCCTGTCACGCCGGCTCATTCTTTGGGGAAAAGCTGCTCAGTGGCCAAGGCTTGGGCTCTGCAGGAGGCCTCAAAGAATCAATCAGGCCATAATTAGGGTCATTATTAATCTCCTTCCACAGTGGTGCCAGGACTCCCTGTTTATCCAACACTTCCGTGCCAGGAGACCTCTTATTTCCCTTCCCCTCTGAGCAGGCCAAGCTAGACCAATCTTCCAAGCAGGCCCTGGCAGTGGCCTCCCCAGTTCTTCTGCCTCTCTTGGCCGTCCTCCTGCAGAAAGTGCTCCTCGCCTCTCCCTCAGGAAGGGACGGCTTCCTTGGAACTGTGGCCTCTGGAACGATTTACCCTCTACCTCAAGGCTCTTGAGCTCCCTCGGTAAATGTTTAAGAAGCCTCTGCTCTGTAGCAGGCACTGCTGGGGGCCAACAATGATTCATGGGGAATCAGACACGAACCTTCCTTTCCAGGAGACAAGCTCACTGCACAACAGCAGCTGCAACTATAGCCACATCCCCAGTGCTTTCCAGCGCACGGGAGCCTCCACACACCCGCTCACTGAAGCATCTGGCCAGCTCCTCAGGTAAGTACCAGGTGCCCATTACACAGATGAGGAGGAGAGGCTGGTGGAGGTCAGGATAGGACTGCTGAGCTTCAGTCAAGGCCCTAGGGAGACAGACCCATGTGTTTGGGGCTCCGTGCTGGACAGGAGCCAGGAATACCCCTGTCCAGGGGACCCGACTTCTCTTGGCCTAGGAAGGACCACTCTTTCCCAAGTCAGGACTATGAGCATGGGCTGAATAGCCGCCAGGAGTGACCTGGCCTTGCCCAGAATGCAGAGCTTATTAGCATCTCAGAACTGAAAATCTCTAGCTACAAACTCTCCACACCCAGGGTCTTAGAATCACCTCACTCGAGACTCATACAATCACAGAATCCTAGGATCTAAGAACTATCCTTGGATTTCAGACTATTAAACTCATCGAATGTCAGCACCAGGAAAGATCTGGAACCATTCCATCCAGCCTCCCTTCCCTGGCAGAAATGCCCTGTCTAGCTCCTAGGGGTGGTTCCCCAGCAGAGTGGCCTGCATAGGCTTGCATACTCCCTGTGACAGGCCCCTCCCTTCCTGAACGACTGAGTGCTTCCCCCTTGAAGCTGCCAGGACCCCCATCCTTCACCACCACCACCACCCCACTAGCAGTGGCAGGCTCTCCCTGGAGAAGGCAGAGTGAGCAAACATTCTCAGGGCTTCTGGTGGGGCCTCAAAGGTCAGCCTGGGGTCCTGGAGAGGGAAAGGCTTGCATCAACCTCTCACCTTGTTGACACCTCTGTTGAATCACCTCCCAGGAGCTGGATGATTCAGTCACAGGGACCAGGCTGACTTTTTCCGGGGCCTTTCCCTCTTTCCCTCTGAGGTCCCCGTGAAGCGGGGCGATTGGGTGCCCAAATGGGAGGGAAAGGAGAAAGCTGAGTCTGGCAGAGACTTGCACTGAGCAAACCTGTCCCTGCCCAGTTTTTACCCCCAGAGGGAATAGAGAGCAATGATTTATTTTATTTATTTATGTAAAACAGCAGAGTTATCATACAAACCGGCTTCCCAAGCAGGCCCTTGGGGATGGGAAGAGAAGCAAGGCCTACCATTTGGGGAATCTTTCTCTTGCTCCTTTCCCCTTTTGCCACCTGTGTAGCCGCACCTCCCCCTGCCCCTCCTCACACCCCTCTGCTCCAGGCACTCCACACCATCCAGCCTCCCCACCTCCACGCCTTTGCTCATGCTGGGCCCTCTGCCAGGAAAACCCTCCGCGCCACCCCAATTCAAATCCTCTCCATCTTAACAAACGGACCCTGTGCAAAGCTTGGTCTGATCCCCCCACTCCCCCAGAGGCCCCCCGCCCCCCGTCTTTGTGTTCCTGTCATGTCATCTGGCAAAACTGGAGACGTGATCGCAGGCCTCTGTGCCCGGTAATTATCTGCTTCCGTAGCTGAGAGCCTCCCCAGGCAGAGATTTCAGAGCCATTTGGCCAAGCTTTTCTGAAGAGCCTCAGTGCCTGCGACCCCGCACCAGGCCACAGGGACACAAGAGACCCCCCCGCCCCGGCCCTGCTAGAGGAGTCACTGTGTCCCTGCACCAGGCCCAGCACCAAGGAGGCTCTGGTTTATCTGTCAGCCAGAAAAGCTGGTGAAACGTGCAGCGGAAGGAAAGGAGATCGGAGCCTCCTGTGCTGCGCGACTACAGAGCCACTTCTGAGCCTGCTTCCAAATCTGCTCCTGAATGATAATTAGCCTCTCCCAATTTACAGGAAAAAAAAGTTACTAAAAAAAGTCTCAATTAAGTATTTTCTCCCACCATTTTTGCTTAACCCCCTGATATCTGTTTGCACACATCTGTTCTGGGTCTAGTATCAGATGACCTCAGCATTAGCACAGAATACTGACTTCCTGTCACTTGTCTCTCTTCACCAGGTGTCCCCTGAAGAACGGGGTAGGCCCCTCTATTCCCAGGCATGTTCGAGAATCTGGGGCCTTTTCTTCCCTCCTTTAAAATTTCTCGGTTTCCCTTGCGTGACCAAAGGAACCTGGGCTTACTAGAATGCTGAGAAAGGAAGTCGCAGGAATGTGCCGGCTCAGGACACCTTCAAGGTGCGTGCCAATTGCGTGTGTCAAGACCTCCAATTCCACCATTTGCCATTCATTCCTTTGGCTGAAGCGTCACTTTTTCTAGGATTATCTTGTAAAATACAGGTCTCCCCTGGCAATGGGAGCCCTTTAAACCCCCTGACTGGAGGTCAAAGAAGCTTAGGTGAATACATGGCTCTAGAGGCAGTTAATCACAGGGATTTAGAATGTGCAATAAGAGCCAGTCTGCCTGGGTTTGAGATGAGACCCAGTTCTACCACCTACTAATTGGTATAATACCACTAGGCCTCAGTCTCCTTATCTATAAAGGAGGATAATAATAGCACCCACCGCCTGGGCTGACATGAGGATTGGAGGAGCTAACACATGTCAGGGGCTTGAGTAAGTACTGGGTATGTGGGAATAAGTGGTCTACCAGACAACCCCGCTGAGGGCTGCAGTTCTTTTTCTCACCCATCAGGTGGACAATGATCCCTGTTCCTCTTGATTATTATTATTATTTTTTGGTAAACTGTAAGGCACTGTACCCCTGGGAGAGGCAGGCACTGCTGGCAGCCAGCGTGCTGCCCTCTCTAGCTTCTCTAACTCCTCTCTCCCCCCCACAACTTCCTTTCTCTTTTCTTTACCTGGAAGAAGGTATCAGTGGCTGTAGGCAGGGCTCCTGAGGATGTTCTGTCCACGGAGGTGGTGATGTCACTTCACTGGGACCGCTGAAGGAACAAGGGACAAAACCAGTCAGACCACTCAGCAATGCGCCCTGCCTTCTCCTCTCCCACCTGATTCTCTGTGAGTCCCCGTGGCCCTGCCCATCCTGTGTTGGGTGCGGGGCTCAGGGATGGGTCACATCTGGTCCCTGTCCAGGAAAGCTGCCAAGCCGGCGGGTGGTCCAGTTGTGGGCCACCAGACCCCGCACAAGCAATCCTACCTCCACACATGCTGCCCACAAACCAGCCCCAACCTGTCCAGGGTACCGGACAGCCAGTACCCTGAATCACTCCTGCCCCCTCCAGAACCCACGGAAATGCAATCCAAGCCCCAGCTACCTTGGGGAGACACTGGGGCTGCGGGTGGCTCCTGGGGTGCTGAGGCCCTTTCCTGCTGCCCAGAGACCTGCTTCTCTGGAGGGAGCTGCCAAACCAGCACACTTCTGAGGCAGCCACTGAGCAAGGGCCAGTGGGCTGGGGGCGGGATCTGGCCTCCGCAATTGTGAGGCTAACTTCTGACTCATGTGCTGCCTGCCCCATCGCCGGCTCCTACAGCCGGCAGGGCAGCCATCTTGCCCAGGAACTGGGAGGAGTGAGGCCTCGGGGAGAAAAGGAGAGAGGAGGCAGCGCTGGGGCAGCATTGCAGCCTTGTGGGGATGTCACATTACCCACTAGGGTGCACTAAGGCTGCCAGGAGCCAACCTAGGCCTCCCAGAGAGGCAGAGCCAGGGCTGGGACCCAGGCCTCCTGGTGCCCTACAGACTCACGACGGGGGTGGCTCAGGCCCACTGCCCAAGCCCATGCCCACACCCACATGAGAATCCTCCAACCCCATCAGGCCCTGGAGCCACACACCAGCGAGAAACACACGGCCAAGACTCAGCCTCAGACTGGAGGGGAACCGAGCTGGACTCAGAGACAACTTAGAAGTGACCTCCAGCTACTGAGAGAGAGAGAGAGACCAACCCACCCCCTCACCCCCCACCGGGGCACCCTACCCTTGCCTCCCTCTACCTGCAGTCCCCGGCTTTCTCCCAGCGCTCTGGAAGCATTGCACTTTCCATTCTACAAAGCATACTTATTTCCTTCTTCTCTCATTATGACCCTAAGTGACAGATGGAATATAAATAGAGCAGGGCTTCTCAAACTTCAATGTGCAAACAAATCACCTGGAGACCTTGTTAATACACAGTCTGACACAGTGTTTTCTAGTAGGTCTAGACAGGGACGCGAAGGTCTTCATTTCTGACCAGCCCCAGAGGATGGTGGTGCTGCAGGTCCAGGACCACAATTTGAGTAGCAAGAATATCATTGTTAACAGCATGGGTGCGGGGGTTAAATCATCCAAGTTAGAATCTTGACTCTTACTCTGTAACCTTGGGCAAGTTACCTAACTTCTCTGGGCCTAACACCTCCTTATAAAATAGTAACAATGATGACAACAATATCAAACCTGACTCATAGGGTTGATGTGAGGATTAAATTATGTAAAAGGCTTAAAGTGATTATTATTTCAAATTTAAAAATGGAGACTCTGAGAGACAGAGCCAGCAAAGTGGCAGAGCCAGAATTCAACCCCAAATCTCTTAGTTTACAAGCCACCACGAAATGTTACCTAGCAAACCCTCCCCCACACATGGAGATGGAGGCCCAGAGAAGGGTGGAGAGCTGGCAAGTTCATGAGAAAGTTGGTGTCAGAAATTCAAGCTCATGACTCCTAGCCTTGTATTCTTTCCAACCTAACTATCCTTCTGCACAGATAAGAAAGTGTCTCCAATTCTCCTGGAGGGGTCCCAGCCTCTGCTTGTCAGTCCCTCCATGGGCAGCATCCATCTCCTACCTCCAGTCTGTGGCACTGCTTGGTCTCAGGTCACCCAGCTGGGATGGCAGGCAGAAGGTGACATGGCCTGGGCCCAGCCCCACCCCCACCCTGGTTTCCCACCACAGGGCCAGTGGGAGCCCTGTGAGTCACTTGAAGGAAGTGCTTGGCCCCAAACAGGAAGTGGCTTTTCAAGCTGAAAACCCCTCCAGGATCTCCAGGGCCCTGCGGCAGGTGGCTGGGGTAGCAGAGCCTGATGGAGCTCACTGGGATATACTAATACCTATTCGGATTTTTACCTGAAACCCAAACTCGGCACCCATCCTCTGTACCCTGAAATCTGGCCAGGTGCTTTGCTGCTGTGTGACCTTAAGTACATGAGTGCCCTGCCCTGAGCCTTTATTCCCTTATCTGAAGGATTTGGGCTGCATTACAAGATCACCTATGGCCTGGCAATCCACAATGAAATGAAGGGTTGGAGGAAGCGAATACGGGTTTTCAATAAATGAGCAAATGCATGTATGCATGAAATGCATGAGTGAATGCAGACACAGATTTAAACCCCAGCCGTCGGACAAGCTCCATCATTTATCTCTTGTTAGCCGTACGATAGAGATCTCACTGATGAGATCTCCTCCCACCCCCTGAATCACCCTTAGGCGCAAGGAAGAAGGGCCAGTGCCCTGAACCCACACATCACAGACACATGCTCACAGATGAACATAGTAGAGAACATATGGGAGTCTCTGCCACAGGACATCCATGGGACCTACCAGCACAATCTGTTCCCCTAATGCCACTCAGGCCCGGCTAAAACCTTTCTCCATTCCTTGGGCATGATGAACAAAAGGTGATTCTGTCCAGATCAAAAACTGTGGGTTGCTTTGTTGCTGATGAGGGAAAGGGACACAGGTTGGTGGTGGTGGAGGTGGGGAGGGGACTTAGTGGCAGGAATGTTTAAGGGCAATTTATTTATTTATTTATTTATTTATTTATTTATTTATTTATTTATTTATTTATTTATTTATTTATTTATGATAGAGAGAGAGAGAGAGAGAGAGAGAGAGAGAGAGAGAGGCAGAGACAGGAGGAGGGAGAAGCAGGCTCCATGCAGGAGCCTGACTTAAGGGCAAATTCAACTTGTCAAATCCTTTCTAGCAGAGAGCAAAGAGTGATAGCTTCTTGCATAACAAAGTATCTGTTTCCCAGGAATGCTGAGCAACATTTTTTTTTTTTTGGCTTTTCTCCCTGTTCCAATTTGTGGTTATAAAAGTACTGATGAATTAGTGTGGTATCCATAATAAATGCACAAAGCGGCTGAAGAACATCTCACAGTATCTAAGGATTCATATTACTCAAATTAATGTAATATGAAATGTGACACTAATTCTTTACACTGGCCACTCAGTGGACAGGAATGGCTGGGACTGAATAGTTTCAATTGTAGAAATGTTCAAAAACTTGAGTATTTCATCTTTCTTCAAATAATTTTATTTTAAAATCGATACTCATTGATTATGTGTATAATTTTGATTTCAATAGATAATTTCAAGGAGCAAAAACAATTTTTGAACATATAAGTTTTCCTTTTTCTGCATCTACTTTAATTTACATTTTTGATGGAAATATACTCAAATTCTGTGCACTTCAAATATAATCGCATTTTATTTTTGATCCTTCATATTATCACCATTGATACCCAATTTTCAAGTGCTGTACCAATCTTGATTATAGCAGTATAACTATAGTGATCTCACTAAAATGAAGACAATATATTTTATGAAGTAAATATGGAGTAACGTATGAATTTTCTTATCACTCATCAGAACATCATCACCAAAACACTCATAATTACATTCAGTCTTCTTTGCTATTTTGTCTCTCCCAGTTGTATAAAACCGTAACTTTACATGTATATTTCAATTTATATTATGAAGATGTAATTGTCAAGGTGAGACAATCAAATTATTTTATCTAACAGTTTCTGGGTTTGTTTTATAACCTTCAAATATCTGACAGAGCTACGTGGGCCTCTGTTTGTATCCCTGCTCTAGGCTCTGTGCACTTTGCACTGGGCCTGCCTGTCCACCAGCTCTCACTTCTTTGGAGCCCAGGCCGCCTGCACTGGTCACTTCACCTGAGCATCAGCTGAGCTGCCAGTCAGCTGTGTCTTCCCCAGACTCTGCCTTTTAGAAAGTGTTCTACACATAAAGGTCCTCATGCTTAGATGTGGGCCTTATTTCCAGAGCCGACTAGAATCTGTTCAAGGATAGTGGCCATGACTTGACTAGCATCTCCCACAGACCACAGACCTGGTGTTCCTTAAAGTCCCGTACATTCCAACACCATCTGTAAAGGGACCTGGCCCAGGGTGCCTAGAAGTGTCTGGTAGCCTCGGCTGAGTGAACAGACCCAATGACCTGTGGCCACCACAACTGGTTTTCTCTCCTGCTCTGCACCTCTATTCAGTCCACCTCTACCCATACCACCCTTTGGCCCCCTTACTCTGAGCGTACTGGTCACACTGATCCCCTTGGATGAAAGCCACCAGAATGCACACTTCTGAGAAACCTCTATGTTCCCTGCCCACCACCCCTCATAGCATCTTTCACAAAAAGCTTCCAGACTCTAGGGGCCAGGTTCTGGAGTGGGGGCAGTGTGACAAGGGCACACACAGCTAAGTGAATGGCTGGGCCAGGATACATACTCTGACTCCCAAGCCAGTCTAGACAACGATAAATCCAGTCACCAGCACACATTTCCTGAGCTCTTGTATGGGCCAGGAGAAGCTCCAAGGCTCTTGTGGACAGAAGGGGTTTCCAGGGGAGGAGCCCACCATCTAATGGTGTGGAGAAGGGCATCCAGTACCCCCTGAACGAAGGAGGCATGAGCTGGGGGAGAGGTGCAGGAGGGCCTTGTTGAAGAATCAGAGTCCCAGCTTCACCCCAGCCTAGCCCAGCACCTGACTTGCTGGATGCAGCAATGAATACCCAGGAGTGAGCAAACTCGTCTCCTCTGCATCCCCCACCTCAACCAGCCAAGGAGCAGGCAGAGAGCAGCCCGGGCCTCAGGACAGGTCTTGCAGTGAACCAGTCATTAAGCCTGGTGAAAGCAGGACCCTGTCCATCTGAGCACAGAGCGAACCCTTTCCGCAGTACATGCTCCAAAATTGTGTCAGACGATCTAG